AATTCAGGGTTAGGTATGCAAACATTGATTATGCAGGTACCCTTGTTGATGAGGTGTGCCTCTCCCTCCCCTAGCAGTTTCCCTCAACTGCCAATCCAACCCCTTCTCCCCTGGCAGTTTCCCACTACTGCCAATCCCTTTCTTATAGTATTGTGATAATTGTTCAAGGTCCACTTATGAATAAGAACATATGGCACTCTGTTCTTTGTTTCTGTGATTGATCACTGAGTATGATCAACTCTAAATCCATCCAAGTTGCTGTGAAGTCCGTATGTTTTTCTTCTTTATGGCTGCATAATATCTCATTGTGTATATGTATCACATTTTTTAAAGCCAGTCTAGCTTCAATGGGCAGCATGGCTGGTTCCATGTTTTTGGTATTGTGAATAGAACTGCAACAAACATTCGTGTGCAGGTATCTTTTTTGGAGAATGATTTGATTTCCTCGGGGTATATTCCTCATAGGGGAATTACCGAGTCATATAGAAAGTCAATTTCTAGTTCTTTTAGAAATTACCACACTGTCTTCCAGAGAGATTGGACTAGATTGCCTTCCCACCAACTGTGTAAAAGCTGAACTCTTATTTGATAGGTGAGGAAACAACGGCAGAGACAGTGCCCTGGTCGTCAGGGTTTCCTCAGCAGTGTGTGAGGCGAAGGCCTCACTTCTCAACAGGCATTCCTTACCCATGGTTAGAACATCTTTTATCTGCCATCATGAGATGAGCCAGGATCAATTTCATAGCCCCAAACTAGGACACCCCTGAGAGATCCCAGTCCCACATACCTTACAGAGTAAAGAAGCAGAGTGAGGGCTCCAAGTGTCCTTCATGGCCACGTAACTTTAAGTAACAAGTAAGAACCTAGATTAGACTCTGTTTAAGGACAAGGTGAGAAGGCTACTTTTCCTAATATGACCAATCTCGAATATATCACACCTAAGTCCCAAAACTTCCCTGTGTGTGGCATCATAAGAACTCTTTAAAGAAAGCTAAAAGGAGTGGGAAGGGGGACATCTATGAAACTTTCTCTTGTCTGACATGAGAAATAGCTGTCACTAATGTACACCCGGACAATGGAAGTTCTTGTGATAATGTAGCATTCAGTATTTTAATGTCAACATCATGAGAATTCAAAAGAGAAAACATTCTCCTCTTTCTCCTATGTCTATTACATATATGTATGTGTCTGTCTACGGTTGTGTGTGTGGTCTGGTCACACATAAAAATAAATGGCACAAAAAAGGGATATTCTATTCCCTCCTAACCAAAATTAATATGAGATTTTTTTACAGGTGTATTCCTCTTTATAAAGATAATCCATTTTGAAAGGTGATGATCTAACTCTCCCCATCTAGAAGCTCTCAGGGAAATTCACTAGACGGCCATTGATTTACAAACACCTGCAGAATGCATAAGGCAGGTCCTTCAGTTTGAAAGAATTCCAGAAATGGCACCTCTGTGACAATGCTTGAGATGGAACATTCCAGCACTCCCTACCAAGCAGAACAAAGCTCACATTTCACACCATTCCACCTATCCTCGGGCCTCCCAAGTTACCACCTGTGACTTGGATCTAAGCAAACAAAAAAACTACAAGAGGAGACAGATCATCCGGAAATCTCTGAGGTGCCGATCCACAAATCCTGGGAGCCAAGGGAAATAACCAGAAAGGTCTAGAAGTGATGCGACCAGAAAGGGAGTTATGATCAGGTTGGCACCAGGGAGCCTGTTGGGATAAATCAAACGACTGAAATGTCAATACTGAGGAATGCAATGCATGAAGAGAGGACAAAGAGGTGGGAAAAAATGAGGGCTTATGCCATAGATCAAAAAAAGCTGGACTCGCAGTGAAATACAGATGGATGGTAGAGAAAGCAGCAATGCTGAACCTCTATGAGTTAAGGCAAAAGAAATATATGAAATAAAGGGGAATTAGCAGTGGGTGTCCTCTGTGCACTACTAAATCAGGATGAACTCCCTGATAAATTACTGTAGAGGGAAAAAAACAGATACCGGTGTCCCCATAAATAAATAAAATGTAGCTCGCAGTATAAATCTCGCCATGGATACCTTGCCTCTCCCTGCTACTGCCTACTAAAATTCTCCAGCATTCCTCTTCTCTTTTTTTTTCTCCTTCTGACTCCCAGATAAGCGTGGGCGCTAAGACCCCCGTTTAACTTCTCGCCTTTGAATGATGATGATATTCCTGGTTTCAGTCCTTTGGGTCCCTCAGGTAGACTTTGACCACTCTTGGGTGCAAAGGCACAAAATCAATAAACCAAACATAAGTAAAATGCTAAATGGTGAGATCACTAAACTTCGCTGCTTTAGATTTCAATTACGGAGACATTTCTTTGGGGATAATAAAAAGAGCAAAATTCAGGTCGTCCGGGAATTTTTAGAGCTATGCTGTTGTGAGTTGCTTGTTTCATAAAGTGGAAAGGGCAGCAAGGGGTGAGGCAATTTGGGCTCGCTCACCACAAATAAGGAAGAAACAATCAGGAATCTGGAGGTGAAGGGCACTGGGGAGCGTGACCTACTTCCATTTGCTATGCTGAGAGGAGCCTTATTTGTACAACTTCTCAGAGAGGCACAAGATAGGAAAAAGGTGAAGCCGTAAGAGAGAATTCTACCCTGGAAGTCAAAACTCACAAGGGAAAAATCTGTGAAGCAAAATTACACTGTGAAATGTCATTCTCTAAAGGGCTTAAACAAGAAGTGTGATAAATGTTATTACTCTGCAGTGCCAGAAGGGTGTTGAGGACTCAATCACTGCTCTGATTGTGCCCAACAAGTGCAAGAAGGAGGTTATGGGAAAAAACAGACCCTGTTCTGGAGTACTTTCAGGGCTAAAGGCTGCAGGGGGGAAAGCAAAATGGGAAAACCAAGATTACAGCCATGAGACTCACATTATAAAGAACTTTGAGTCATCACTGCCTCGTGGCCTCTTGGTTCTAAAGGCACCCTCAGGTCGGGGTAAGCAAAGGATAAATAAAGTGAAAGGTCAGGAAGGTCCAGAGAAAATCCAGTCAAGAGCCAAAGGAAAACCAGCCTAGACCAAGGCGTCAGGTTGATTTTCTTAAAAGAGCTCCGCAAAACAGTTGCAAGAAACCCCCTAAAGTCGCTCCAAGATCAGGCAAGTGTGTCTAAGACTGGAGATGAACAGCTGCACTTCTAATCTAGGATGCAGATCAAAGAGTATCCAAACAGTGGGAAATTAACACCCATGGAGACGGTTCCCAGATATGTGAGCACAGAAACTTTACAAAATGCATGCGTGTGTATGTGTGTGTGTAAGAGACATATATATATATATCTCACCAGTTGTGTCATCATATACTCTAGCTGCAGTGCAAAAGAAACAGATTTTAATGAGTCGAGAATGTTATTTTAAACATGTTTTTCATACTTTACTTTCACCTTTGAAATGGTTCAACCTCAAGGCTATATTATTCAAGTTCAAGCTTCCCAGGCTGCCATCACCCTAATGAGGTCCTCTGTAAAGCGCCCATAAATTAAGGGAGGGATCTGTGGGCACCATGAAAGAGAAGGGCAGAAAAAGCCACAAATTCAAAGAGGGAACTTGTTCCCCAAACTCTGTCTGTGCATTTGGACAACTAGCTATGAACAAGAAATGTCCTCACTCAGTGACAAGCCACTTCCAAGCTTATCAGGAAGTCAAAGCTACCACCAAAAGCAAAGTGGAAGATTCGGAGGCCAAATTAGGGCTTCTTCATTAGGGATGCCGAAAGTCCACCCTCACATGCCCACATAAACTGAGAGGGGAAAATGCTAATGGCATACTACCTTGTTGTTGTTTTTTTAAAAGAAAGTTATAGAAAAATATTTTTAGGATGATCTCTTGGCTGGGTGCAGTGACTCCGTGCCTATAATCCCGGCACTTTTTGGGAGGCAGAGGTGAGAGTATCACTAGAGGCAAAGAGTTTAAGACCAGCCTGGGCATCATAGAGAGACACTGTCTCTACAAAAAAAAAAAAGAAAATATTCTTAGTATGATCCCATTTTTGTTTAAAAAATGAGTTATAAATGTGTATATTTTATGAGCATAGAAAAAGATCTGAAAAAATAGACAAAAATTTTTAACATTGTTTACTCAAGTAAAATGGGATTGGAGGGAGGAGTTTTACTTTTACTTGAGTCTGTGTTTTTGTTTGTTTGTTTGTTTTTTGAGTTGGAGTCTCACTCTGTCACCCAGACTGGATTGCAGTGGCCGCTCCCAGTCACCGCAGCCTCGACCTACTGGGCACCGGCGATCCTTCCGCCTCAGCCTTCCAGGTAGCTGGAACTACAAGGGCGCGCTACCACGCCCAGCTAATTTTTGATTTATTGTAGAGATGAGGTCTCACCAAGTTGCCCAGGCGGGTCTCGAACCCGCGGGCGAGTCTGTGTTTTTTAATGTTTATAGTAATTGTCTTATTTTTATAAGTTTAAAAAACAACTTTAATATTCTCAGAATTCAACCTTGGGATTTCCTTGCTACCTTTTATTGTTGTTTGTTAAAGTAACAACGGTCCATTCAACCTCCATGAAATCTCTTAAGGTCAAGAATTTACCTTCTCTATGAAAAAGAGAAAAACTGGGTTAATGTTCCTGACTA